AGACCACCTTCCTATCATCGTCTCCATCAACAGACCACCCGACTTTATTACCTCTGAACGTCGTTCTTTCCTGAAATTTGGGAAAGCTGACTGGTCTGGGTTCAGAGTGTTTACCAATCACCGTTTTACCTGTCCTCGGGAGCTGAGAGAAATTTCCGTACAATCATCACCAATGCTGCCGCTTGCTTCATTCCTGCTGGTCGAATACCCGAAGTAAGACCAAACTTCCTAGCAGAGGCGATGGTACTAGCCAATAAACGCGATGAGCTCCGCCTTACGACCCTTGAATACCCAAGGGTGTGAGAACTTACCTCTGAAGTCAACAGGCTAGTATGGGAGCACAAAATGAAGAAGTGGTTAGACCACCGGAACAAGTAAATTATGGGCAACAGTTAAGTCACTTTCGAAATAACACGCGCACCACTTCGACGTAACTCGAAGAGGTGCGCGTTATTTTTGGACGAAAAGGAGGAGTGGATATAGAGAAAACAAATCTCGGGCCTTGTTTGAAACATTGCATAATCAAATACATAGATGAACTTGTAAATTTCCTCCATCTGAGGAATATGAAAATATTCGCCGCAAAAGCTACAACCACACTGTTCACCACATGGACGACTGAAATGAAGTTCCACCTGAACATAATGGTCGATGGAGGACTAATTCTGATCTCAAACTACCACAAGCTACTGTTAGTAATATCTGCTTAATCCACTGCTTTATGCGATAATCTGAGAAGTAGGAAGAGGGTCCTCAAGTCCCTATCGGAAATCACCCACATCTACTGTAGCAGAGGAGAAGCAGCTGCCACTACAAACTCAAGTAGTATTAGCTCAACTAAGATCAGGTTAGTGCAACCTCCTCAATTCGTATTGGGCAAGAATGTACGGCTCTATATCTAACACAATACACGTTGCACCTCTTCAACAACCACGATCCAAATTGATTGGTTTTATAACGGAGGTCTGACCCGAGCGGAGTCCTTACTGTCAACAAGAAGAAGTATTAAGGACAAACATTACCCAAAAAGAATCTGCAATGCTAAAACCTGTTCAACGTTTTACTTTGTTTTTAGTCGCCATGAACGCGGAATGCCAAAATATATCATCTTCGGTTTAGAAAATATATCAAAAAGTAGACCATGGTAATTGATGTTTTGAATTCATTGCTGTTGAAACACGTTTTGAAAAAAATATAAGCCCTTTTCAAATCGCATGCTTATCCTATGAGTCCAACTGGATGTTTACTTTAGTTGTCTTCTTTATCATATCGTATCATCCCTCCCAACTTACCGCAAAGAAATTCCTTGTTGCTCCATTCTTTTTCGCTCCATATTGCACACCACCTTTATTCTCGGCCAAATCTTTGACATTTTCCAAAACTGTTGTTGGATTTTCAATGGTTAAGAAAGCGGCCAAATTGGCCGTGTATGATGATACTATAATCAGGGTAAAGAAACACCAGATGGCAGCAACGGTACGGGTGGAAAGAGCCCTAGAAGAAAATTACGTCTTAATATTTTCCGATTTAAAATATTATAAAGAACAAACTCACTTCGGGGCAATTTCTGAACCCTGCTGCAAGAATGCACCGGTTGTAAACCACAGGGCACTATTGATGGTAAATTGATTTTCCAATTCTTCGGGTTCTTCTATACAGGGATAAGGATTATCCCATTCGGTTGGGGAGAGGCGACCCAATATAAAGAAACACAAGGACACCGAAAGAAATGATATGCCTAAATATTTCCAAACTTGTTTAGAGAAGGGGTCCATGAACGAGAAGGTGGTGGGTTCACTTTTCTGCGGCTTTAGATATAAAATGGCAATGCCTAAAATAATAAAACGTACACAAAGAAAACCAATATAATTATAAAATCAATTAAAATCAAGTTGATACAACATTTTTTCTTAAAAATTATATTATTTTGTGTGTTTATATCTAATACGTATTTGTTTTGTAAATATTTACCTGTATTCATAAACGGTATAGTAAAGTCTACAACTTCTTCACGTTCCGAGGTAATTGTCAAATCAGTAATAGCCAAATCAGCTTCCTGCAAAATCTTCTATTATCTTCAGATACAAGTTTATATTTCCTCCATACTTACCCCATCAATAATTTGTTTCAACATTCCCGTTGTTGTATTTGTGGTCTTATTAAATGAACCATAATCGGAGCCACCATTTCGCAACGTGAAATTAAAACCCAAAATATCTGCCAATTCCTTAATTAAATCTACACCGTAACCCTGGTACATATTGTTGCCATTTAATTTTTTGTGTGATTCCACCAAGCTGGCATAGGGTGGATTCTGTAGAAAAACAATTTGAATATTTATTCGAGATAAGGAGGACATTTCAATATTATTAGAACTTACGGGAACGGATATCAGCACAACATAGGTTTTATTAACCATAGAATTGTCATCGAGCAATATTGTTTGCCTCTGCTGTGGTGGCCTTTCAAATGTGAAATTTTTATTCTCTTCCCAAACACCAATTTTTACAAGACCCGTTGGCTGAAGTTCTATAACATCAAGTTTGTAACCTTTACGTCGAAATCCATCAAAGTATATACGTCCAGTCAGGGTATTTTTGTCGAAATCCAACTGAAATACCAAAATAGAATATTTTAAGACTCTCTACAGATAAACGTTATTATGTATATAAGGCCCTCCATAGTTCTTCCTCGAGATCCAACGAATGCCTTCAATAAATGGAGGACCGTCCTCAGCATACGGAAATCGTAGACAGGCCAAAATATATAATAATATATTGTGTAGGTTCTTAAAATATCCACGCCTTGAAAAAATATTCTTTAAAAAATCCACGCCTTGTTGTTGTTGACCCTTGAAAAAATATTCTTTAAAAAATCCAAGCCTTGTTGTTGTTGACCCTTGAAAAATATTCTTTAAAAAATCCAAGCCTTGTTGTTGTTGACCCTTGAAAAAATATTCTTTAAAAAATCCACGCCTTATTGTTGTTGACCCTTGAAAAAATATTCTTTAAAAGATCCAAGCCTTGTTGTTGACCCTTGAAAAAATATTCTTTAAAAAATCCAAGCCTTGTTGTTGTTGACCCTTGAAAAATATTCTTTAAAAAATCCAAGCCTTGTTGTTGTTGACTCTTGAAAAAATATTCTTTAAAAAATCCAAGCCTTGTTGTTGTTGACCCTTGAAAAATATTCTTTTAAAAATCCAAGCCTTGTTGTTGTTGACCCCTGAAAAAATATTCTTTAAAAAATCCAAGCCTTGTTTTTGTTGACCCTTGAAAAAATATTCTTTAAAAAATCCAAGCCTTGTTATTGTTGACCCTAGAGGAAATATTCTTTAAAAAGTCCAAGCCTTGTTGACCCTTGTGCTAGTTCTTGAGAAAATATTCTTCAAAAAATCCAAGCCTTGTTGACCCTTGTGTTAGTCCTTGAGAAAATATTGTTTAAAAAACCCACGCCTTGTGTTATTTCTTGAAAAAATATTGTTTAAAAAACCCAAGCCTTGTTGACCCTTGTGTTAGTCCTTGAGAAAATATTGTTTAAAAAACCCACGCCTTGTGTTATTTCTTGAAAAAATATTGTTTAAAAAATCCACGCCTTGTGTTAGTTGTTGAGAAAATATTGTTTAAAAAACCCACGCCTTGTGTTATTTCTTGAAAAAATATTGTTTAAAAAACCCAAGCCTTGTGTTAGTCCTTGAGAAGATATTGTTTAAAAAATCCACGCCTAGTGATAGTCCTTGAGAAAATATTGTTAAAAAAATCCACGCCTTGTGTTAGTCCTTGTGAAAGTATGATTTTAAAAATTCATGCCTTGTGGAGGTCTTCAAATAAAAATTTCTTTAAAAAAATCAGGCCTTGTGTAGGACCTTGACAAATATTTTTTAAAAAAATTAGTCCTTGTGTAGGTCCTTGAAAAAATATTCTTTAAAAGTACAAGTCTTACCGATCTCATGTAATTTTTAAAAGTAGACCCATCTTCCTGCACATTATCGGCATCCAATTTACAATCCAGCGGTTGCGGAACATATTGTATATTTTTAGTGGTCTCAGCAAAAGCAATGACGGCATCATAAAGTAAAGCCATTTCCAGGGTTATGGGACAGGAACCTAAGATAAAGTTTTGAAATTAAAAATAAATAAATAAAACCTGCAAAAAATAAATAATCTACCCACCATTCCTAATAATTTCATTATCAATTTCCCGAAGGCGAATACGATTCTGTGTCTCTACATCATCGGGATCAATTTCCGCAGCATCGACACGATCAATTTCATTGTAACGTTCATCATCGGACAATTTTTGTAAATAGCCCATTTCACGCATAAGATTTTGCACCTCAGGTTTTTCCGCGGAGAACATGCGAAATCCAGTAATATTGGCATCACTATATTTATATTCCTCCAAATCGAAGGTGTGGAAATCCAAATTGCCAATAATATAGGTATAATCTTCATTCATGATACCAACTTGTTGGGCCTAGAACAAAAATATTTTTTTTAAAAGAAAAATTCGAAATAATTTCAAAATTTCCAACTTACCTGTTTTAAAACCTCTGCCACCGATTCCGAAGAACCCACAACAACTAAACGATTATCCACCGATTTGCGAACTCTTCTCAAAACCGATTTATAATTGCCATTTAAATTTAGATCATAACGTAAAACGGATATAACGGGGCCATTGCTGCCGTAGATGGTCATAAGGGCATTTAAAATGCTGAGATAACCAGCTGAAATAAGAAATATTTTAAAATTGTCATATACATCATTCCACACTTACCATTCTCATAAAGAAAAATATAACGACTCCATTCAAATGCTGAAATTACAGCATGTAGAGCCTGGGCTATATCTGCCGGATGTGGATGTAAATTGAATCCCTCATTGGCCTCACTCATGTGTGACATAATGTAGGGTACATCTTTCCTGTCGCATACATTCATCAAATGTTGACCTGTGGATAAGGCGGATGGGCCAAATACACCACCAATGCCACCCTATAGAATATATATTTTTAAATATTTGTATCAGTCGGAATTATAGCAATACTTACCTGCATCATACGACACAGACGATCAACACCTTGCATAGAATTTCCGTAATTTATTTCGGCATGCTGCACTTCCAGTTGTGTTGTCAATTCGGCATTGATAATATTTGTGGCATTCTCAAAGGTGTTGCGTAGCAATTCCGAATTTAGATCCGTAATAAGGCCTAATGAAATGGAAGAAGTTAATTTCGGGAAATATTGATAATCTGTTGGAAATAATAGTTTTTATTTCTTATGAGAATAATTATTATTTTAACATATATATGTATATGGGCAATATTACCAATTTTTTAAACTAGCTGAAGCTTCTTTATAACGCAGATATTATTAAATTATATGAGAAAAATGGAATAGTTTTGGATTTATTGATTTGTCGTGGCAAACTTTTCATGATATTGACCTCCAAAGTTTATTATCGCCGAATCTGTGTCTACTTCGATATAAAACAATTAAAAAAGGTGTTAAGTTCGGCCGGGTCGAACTTGGGATATCCTCCGCCATATGTTAGTACAGGCATTATTTTTGGTATGTTCCCTATATTTTCATTTCACGTAACTATCAGTAAGTTACGTGAAATGAAAATATAGGGAACATACCAAAAATAATGCCTATACTAACAACTGTACCAAGCGATTGTTATAAACCATAATGTAAAAATGTTAGGAATTTTTAATGGGGTCTTTTTTTAATCTCAAAATCCCAAAATGTGGATTGATTTGCTACCAAATAATAACTGAAAGTACTAAACGATAGCATTTTGGTCGAAAAATACGCTCAAATCCCCAAAGGGTACGGTTATATGGGGGTCATATTTATAATTTTTAGTGGAAAATTTTGTTAAGCAATAGGAACCCTGTACGAAATTTCACTGAATTCATATGAAAAACTCGCTAAGGAACCGCAAAATATCGAAAATTTGGGGATGGGAGCTATGCCTAAACGTGGACCGATATAGCCCATCTTCGAACTTAACCTGCCTGCAGACTAAAGACGATTATATGCAAAATTTTTGGGTTCTATATCAATTCGTTTAGACGTTAGAGTTATTACAACAGATGGACATGCAAATGTTCAAGAATATATACTTTACAGGTTCGGAAATGATTATTTCCATGAGTTACAAACCGAAAAACCAGATTAATATACCCTCTCTACTATGGTGGAGGGTATAAAAAGGGGGCGTAGACCCCTATACACAGGTAATTCCAGTCACTTCAGTGTAAAAAATTGTCGAAATGTTTGTGGGACCTTTATATTAGGGTTATGCCAAAACATGAACCCAAATCGAAAAAGTTTTTCAGAAAATTTTCCCACACTTCAAGAATTCAAAGTTCCAGTCACATCAAAATGGAAATGCGGATGGGGATATAGACACTTTGATATGAGGGAAATGAGCCACATATAAAAATATATATATTTATAACCTAAGTTTCTTTGGACCAAGTTCGATTCAGACAATTTCAAAGAGATTTACATAAGGCCTTTCGTTTGTCTGGCTGGTTGGTGAGAGATATCGGAGAGATATCTTTCTTGTACAAACAACATTGGCTGGTAATCCAATGTACATATCTGTTCTTTATAACCAAATCGATTTCATGGCTGGGGTATGAAAAATTCTTATGGGGATAAAAACACCTGGCGAGTATACTAAGAATCCAGAGGGATGTTGCAGATTATTTTTGGGTTAGATATCTTCAGTCAAATCGGAGGAGGAATATTTTTGTCAAGCATAACCCTCTAATTCATTTTGTGAACTGTAAACTAAGTGACACACATCGATTTTTTTTACTTCCAAATATTTTACAAACATTTCTCTCGTGAGATTTACACTCAGAAAAAGTGACTGCTCTTAGGTCATTTGCACAGTATGTTCGTCAATTCCAAACATACTGTGCAAATGTTCAAAGTTATGCCTTAACAAATTCGGAGCTCTTTTGTGATTTCAACAGACAGCCGATCAATCTACGCTGATGATGAAGATAGTCCATAAAAATATGTAATTGAGAACCAACGCTAATGACTCAGAGATTTGTCCTAAAATCGCAAAATCTAAAAATGTGGACCGATGTCGAATTTGACCTGCCTGCAGACAAAAGACAACCCTATGTAAAATTTCAGCACCCTATCTCAATTCCTTCAGAAGATAACGTGATTACAACAGACAGACAATTTCACCCTGATCAAAAATATACAAGTATATATAGTTGGAAATGAATATTTCGATGAGTTACAAACGGAATGACAAAATTAATATATCCTTCATACTATGGTGGAGGGTATAAAAATATTAGCGTACCTCTGATGTCTGGATCTCGGGATCACTGTACAGCTCTGTCCCCTTTTGAGAATCTGCCACGAGTGGTACTTATAACACTATGCAACAAAATTGAGCTTATTGGAAAAAATGGAAAATTCATTATTGGAACAAAATTCTTTTTGGAGTATATTAAGAACTCAGAAGGACAAATTCACCATAGGTCAAAAAGAAATCAATAATTGATTTATTAAATTTTATTAAAATCCAATCTAGAACATTTGTGATTTTATTATTATTGTCCAGCCAATACTTAAAAATATTTAAATTTTTAAGTGTCACGATTTTTTAAGTAATTTTCTATAATTATTGAATATACATCCGCTACTATTTTATATAAATATACTACTTCAAAAATTAAAATTTTGCATCAGAATCCTGTTATTGGGTCTATAATACTTTGCAACTAATTTATTTATTTATTTTTATGCAAATATTGAGATTAATTCATGTTTATATCGACGCCTCCGAACCATAGTATGCTAAGTCGACTTATCATGTTTTAAAGTTCATTTCGTTTTTAGATACTACGGTCCTTAATTTAAACTCTATGAAATTTTGGTAATCATCGGCCAATCCAAACCAAAGTTATAAGCAAAAATGTACTTAGCATTGCACGTAAGATATAAGAAACGTCCATACTTTGAGAGCTTCTACTGAAAAACTCACTTTTCAGACTTAGCATACTATGGTTCGGAGGTGTCGATATGTTATCTTTCACAAACATATTTCAGCATATACATCTATAATTTAAATTATGCTTACCAATCGGTATGCGACCACCGGCCTGTAACGATATACCACCATAACCATAATTATCTCGTTGTCCTTTAATAGGATGTTGAATAAATATAATTGTTATTAACACTAAAAACACAATTTCACGATATATTTTTTCCACGATAATAAACATTTTGTTTGTTTGGTTTTACATTCTCCGCTTTTCCGATATGTTTTCTAAATAAATAAAAAACTATTTTTAGCTTTTGCCGACAATGGGACAGCACCAACAAATATCACAACAAAAACGTGTCAACCAACGCGTCTCATGCAATGTTTTTCGTCAAACAAATTTTCCGTGTTCCGCGTTCGTATCATCCAAACAAATGCATGGATGAAGAGTTCAATATGGACTGATCTTAAAAAAAAAGAAAGAACAAAAAATGAGCAGATGAGGATTCCAGTGACTAAGGAGAGAAAGCTTTTTTTGAAAGAAAAACTTTCCAAAATGTAAAAAATCGAACACTTTATTTTATTCACATTTGAATTTTATTTAAAAATTATCACAATAATAAAATTTGTTTTAAAAAATATACTAAAAAGCTAGAAAAATCTTAAATTTAAGAAATATGTATAATTGTTTGTATATTTTTATGGTGTAAAATACTTCGAAATTATTTAAAAACATAAAAATTGTCTACATTACAAAACAAGATGGATATTGTTGTTTATATTTATTATATTTATAATTATTCTAAAGTAGATATATTCAATATTATTAACTAATATTTATAGTTAACCTACATTTGTATTTGTATTGTATAATACATATTGTGGCACATTTTTGTATTTTATATCATCGTTGGTGTATCTTGCTTGTGAGTGTGGGTGGGTGAGTGCTTTAGTGATTGTTTAATATCGTCTTATGCTGATAGATGGCGTTGTTGATCATTTGTATTATATATTTGTTGCAATAGCTAAAAAAAAGAAAAACAAAGTTATTGAAATAATGGAAATGTAAATAAATGTAATAAGTAAGAACGTGGTTTAGTTCGGACGGACCGAACTATTACACACCTCAGGAGAAATGTAAGGGGACCAGATTTGGGAAATGAATGACATCAAGAGCAAATTAAACAATTTTTATGCCCTTCACCACACTGTGGTACAGGGTATTATGTCTTTGTGCATATGTTTGTAACAGGCAAAAATAATCGAGATAGACCCATGGTTCCTTTTGAGAATATGCATAGAATCACTTTCTGAGTCGATTTATGCATGTCCGTCTGTCTGTCCGTCCGTCCATGTATTTTTGTTAACAAAGTACAGGTCGCATTTATGATCCTATTTCGATGAAATTTGGCACAAGTCACTTATTTGGCCCAAGGACGAACCCTATAGAAATTGGGAAAAATCGGTTCAGATTTAGATATAGCTCCCATATATTTTTTCGTCCGATTTAAGGCAAATGGGGCACCAAAGTCCCTCTATATCATTCGATTTGCACGAAATTTGGCACAGAGTACTGAATTAGGTCCAGAAAGATGTGTGCAAAGTTTCGAGAAATCGGTTCAGATTTAGATATAGCTCTCATATATAGTTTCGTCCGATTTAAAGTAAATGGTGCACCAAAGTCCCTAAATATCATTAGATTTGCACGAAATTTGGCACAGCGTAATGAATTAGGCCTAGAATGATGTGTGCTGAGTTTCATTAAAATCGGTTCAGATTTAGATATAGCTCCCATATATAGTTTCGTCCGATTTAAGGTAAATGGTGCACCAAAGTCCCTAAATATCATTCGATTTGCATGAAATTTAACACAGAGTACTATATTAGGTGCAGAATGATGTGTGCCAAGTTTCGAGAAAATCGGTTCAGATTTAGATATAGCTCCCATATATAGTTTCGTCCGATTTAAGGTAAATGGTGCACCAAAATCCCTATATATCATTCGATTTGCACGAAATTTGGCACAACGTAATGAATTAGGCCTAGAATGATGTGTGGTGAGTTTGATTAAAATCGGTTCAGATTTAGATATAGCTCCCATATATATTTTCGTCCGATTTTATGTAAATGGTCCACCAAAGTCCCTATATATCTTTCGATTTGCACGAAATTTAGCAGTTTCGTGAAAATCGGTTCAGATTTAGATATAGCTCCCATATATAGTTTTGTCCAATTTAAGGTAAATGGTGTACCAAAGTCCCTTAATATCTTTCGGTTTGCACGAAATTTGGCACAGCGTAATGAATTAGGTCTAGAATGATGTGTGTTAAATTTCCTGAAATCGGTTCAGATTTAGATATAGTTTCTATATCTGAGCAAATGAAAAAATTAGTATAGGTTGCAGAATTACATTTTAATGGATCCAACTTCATTTTGATGGTCCTATTAAAAAGCGACGTCTGTTAGGATTCATCTGTTGAATATACCCAAAGTGGTGAAGGGTATCATATTGTCGGCCCCGTCCGACTTTACTACTTTCCTTACTGGTTTTAAATAGATAACATCAAGGAAAAAAATTACAATTTGTTTAATACATAAAAATAATGTAAATATGTATTGGTCGGTTCACAAACCTGCAGGAATCTTGAATTGGCTGACATTGTTTTCGATTAGATGATTATAGAAGTAGATAACAGATATAGGACATACATTTTATAGATGACAAACCGTTAAAAGAGGGCGTATGATCACCTTAGTAAGAGAAAGAAAGATTTTCCACCCGAGGAAGAACGATTTATCCCAAATACCGAACAATGGGGTACTGTTATGTGAGGGCTACCCTGAAACTAGATAGATTTTCTATTTAATGAGAATTCAATATGAAATTTAAAAATGAAACAAATTTGGTATAAATGAACAAATATTTATAATTTTTATTAAGGATATTGATTGAAAAAAGTTCTTTAATGTCACAAAATACAGAATAATGGATATTGAGATATTGAGTGCTGTATAGTTATTTCAACAGACATTGATTCAGATTCCGATCAAGAATATATGTATATGGGCAATGTTGCCAATTTTTTAACATAGCTGAAGCGGAGGTTCACCCCTTTATAACTCGGGAACTACTTAAGTATATGAAAACAAGTGAATAGTTTTGGGTTAATTAATCTGTCGTTGCAAACTGTTCATGATATTGACCTCCAAACTTTATTTTGGTGGAAGCTGTGTCTACTTCCAAAAACACGAAATTTGGCAAAAAATGTTTTTTAAAATATCGCGGATTTATTTGCGTTTTCTGTGTATCATTTCCGCTTCAATAAATGACCTCATACGGATTTTGATCTTTTTCGAAAAGAGAACTTTAAAAACTTCAGCCGAAAGAGAGATGTACACAATTTATCTCAAAAGTAGATTTTGCTGGCACATCCATGGTTCTTAATGGACCACATTGAAATGGTATAGATCGATGTATTTTTTTAGGGTGCACACCGAAATCGGATGCGCGTTAATGGCATATGGAGTTTTCGGAAATTATTCGCGTTTTACGATTTTTTGGGTACTTCAATGTAACGTGCGGCACATCTTAGCCGTCAAATGAAATTTCGCAAAATATATATGGATTGGAAGATAAACTTCAGTACTTCCTGGAAACCGCATGCGCATCAAATGATTTTGAGATTTACGCGATTTACACGCAATTTAAAATGTATATTTCATAATATTATTTTATTTTAAGATTTATTCCTATTTATAGAATTCTAAGATTTAACGGAAGGGTCTTGATATAATCCGCAAGGCGTATACTTATACACAAAAAGTGATTATTATATATGTCAATTTTTCGGCGAAATTCGGGTAAAATAACAGAATAACCCCAACATTTTTTATCTGAAATTTCTTGTATACAATTAAAAAAATAAATATGATGACATTATTTTTTCGAACCAAAAACAAATATTTTTCCTCAATATCTTGTTTTGTTGTCGCTTTGATTTAGAAACCGCTACACGGACTTGTGTGATTTTGATATCATTTGATTCACCATGGTGTTTAGATTATGTACATTTTTTTAAATTAATTTTTAGGTGTGTGTATGTCATTAATATAATGAAAATATTGATGTAATCTGCTATATTTTTTTATTTTTTTCATATTTCGCGAATATGTGCAACTTTATCGCGATTATTATAATATATTCATATTATTATTTTACGGAGCAAGATATATATCAACGTTTTTGGTCAATATAATTAATGGCGTAATTTTAAGATTTTTTTCTTATGCCCAAAATTAAAACCTCGATAACTTTTGCGCGCATCGACCAAAAATTTGATCGCGAACGGTTTCGGAGTCAGAACATTTTTCTCTATATGTGTACCAAAAATCATTGATGTGCCACAAAAACAAAAAAGCAGATTTTTTGAAAATGGAATATTAAAAAATTGGCAATATTGCCCATATACTTTATGGGCTCTCAGGTGAACATTTGGAAGTCTTACAAACGGAATGATAAATTTAATACTTGGATGAAAGTAATTCTTCACATGGAAACTGGAAAGCAAAAAAAAAAAAAAAAAAAAAAAACAGCCAATGGAAAAATTAAGATGCGTGCTTTCATTGTTAAAAAATTGCGAATGCGTCTTTTTTGAACACCTGTTTCTATATGAAGGAATTGCCAAATCGAAACAAAATTTAAGTTTCGAAATCACTTAACTTTTTTCTGTTTATACCGCGCTTTATGTGCTAGGCTTAGAATTTTCCGAACTGCCCTCGTATGTTAACTCTACTTCTTATAGAATCTCCTCCACATATGGAAAATATTTGGTAAAAACGTATATTTATATTTTACTTGGAACGAATGATGCATATACTTTCATTCAAACTTGACATATACACTGGTGGTGGTTGAAAAAAAAAATCTATGGAAAACTAAATTGGCCCAACTTTTGCATAGTCAAAACTCAAGCAACATTTTGATTTTTTCTTATAAATAAGCAAATTTTGCTAGTAATCGACAGCGCACCTACGAGGCATTGAATCAATAAAATGTTCAATTTGATCCTTGGGTATACTATTCCTAGCATCCTGGACCTTGGGAAAAGGTTATGTCTATTTGTTTATGAAACCCTTTTGATTTTGCTATCTATGATACCCTAAAAAAATTTATAGGGTAGGTTAGGTTATTGATATATATATATACATATATATATCG